ACAGACAAACCCAACTACAGTATCCCTCGCTGCGCATGCGCGCCGAGGGTAATGAAAAGCACTGAAGTTAGGGCTGAGGAAATTATGCTCTAATATTTTTATTTTTATTTTACTCCTGGATTCTTCCATTATGTGCAATTTATGCTCCTAATTATGCTTGAAATTTTTAACACAGTATATAATTGGCGTATGTACGTCGTCAATTAGTCACGCTTAGGAATGTCAATTAGTCACCAAAAGGAAGTGTAACTTCTGTCATTCGTAGGAAGTCTAGCTTCCGCCTTGCGCGCAGATTCGTAGGAAGTCTGGCTTCGCGCGCAGTCAGTAGAGCGCGCGCACGAGCGGCCTCTTGGCGCGACTAGCTAGGCAAAATATGCGCGTGCGCCTTCCTAGTATAGAAATTATTCCTGGAATATTCTCGGATTCGAGCAGCCCCAAAAAATTCCCAAATTATGCTCGGCTTAATTTCCGCACCCTAACTGAAGTGCAAACCCTCGGCGCACTGTGCCACGCACGCGTATACTTACGCGTGCGTGTCACTTCCTTTTGGTGTGCTCGCTGACCATTTTACTCATCTTGTAAGTGCCATCAGCCACTAAAACAACTTGTATTGTCAAAGGTGCACTAAATCCGTATTTTTCTGAGGAAGTTACAACACTATGCAGAGAAAGCCCCTTTTATATTCTCTGTGATGAAGGAAGTGATACTGACCAGCATTGCTGTTTTGGCTCGCATGTGGGATGAAAAATTGAGGAAACCAGTAACAAGATTCCTTGACATGCCTGTTTGTAATGCAGGAAATGCAGCTAGCCTTTTTGAGCTTCTTGATGGAGTGTTAGAAAGCAAAGCAATACCTTGGTGCAATGTAGTTGGTTTCGAGTCTGACACAGCCAATGTAATGATTGGTAAGCACAACTCTGTTCTTTCCCGTGTGAAGGCTAAACAGCCAGGGGTATTTAGCCAGGGTTGTGTGTGTCACTTGGCTAATTTGTGTCTGCTGCAAGGAATTTAATCCCTTCCAATAGATGTAGATGATTTCTTCGTGGACTTGTTTTATTACTTGATAAATCATTCAAACGCAAAGAACAGCTGCATGAATTTCAAGAATTCACTGGAACACAACAATTGAAGATCTTGAAACACTGTAAAACAAGGTGGCTTAGCTTAGAAAGAGCTGTCAAGCGTGTTTTACAGCAATGGCAAGCCTTACATGCATATTTTGATAGAGAATCAGAAGAAGATAGGTCTGCCAGAGTTCAGCGGCTCACTAAACATTTGAAAAGCCCTCTGACAAAGCTTGTCTTCCATTTTTGGGCTATTCCCTTGATTTTCTTTGCAAATTTAATGCAGTGTTTCAATCAAGTTTAGCAATGCTACCCTCTCTTAAAGTGGAAGTTTTACGACTGCTCCGTATCCTTCTTGGAAAATTTCTAGTCTCTGGGGCAATTTCAACTACACATGAAGGCCTAAATGAAATCAATCTCAGTGATCCAGCTCTACAGTTAGTTGATAATGAACTTGGCATTGGACATGAAACTTGGAGTTATTTGTCAGAAGAAGAGGACTACTTTGACCCTAGTATGCTTAATATCTTTTTTAATGGTGTCAGAGATTTTTATAAGGCTGTTACCTCGACCATTTTGAAGAAATTTTCATTCAATGACCATGTTTTTGATGATGTCACAATTCTTCTACCAGAGAACCGTTGCAACCTTAGTAGTATTGCAGTAATGTGTCTTGCTAGGCGGTTCTACACTGCAGTCCCATCGGAACTTTTTGATGTCCTGCAAGAAGAGGTTGTCGTAAGTCACGACCATAAGAACTGATCATCACATACAGCACGGCATACATTTTATAGACTGCAAACACGTGGTGGAGAAACTTCTAGAAGGTTATGTAAGTGTGATAGCATCGTGCAGCTGATGATGGTCTGTCACATGTGTAACCACAACTCAGGTGAGTTCACTACACCACTCCCCCCCCCAGTGGCTTACGACGTGTACGAGGTGAAGTACTTAGGGAACTGGACTCGTCGTCCTGAGCGAGTGGTGACATATGGTGCGATGGCTGTAGACTCGAGGTTTGGCGCTGGGTTGGGCGTATCTCTGTCGAGATGGGCAGGTAAGTGAACCCACGTGACGGTGGGAGTGGTCCGACCAGATCAATGTGGACGACGTCGAATCGGGCATCAGGAACGGGGAAGGAAGAGAGTGGGGCGACAGAGTGCCTCTGTATCTTGGCGCGCTGGCACTGTACACAGGCTCGTGTCCATCGGCGGACATCAGCATTGACACCAGGCCACACAAACCGGGCCGTGATGAGCTTCTGTGTTGCTCGGATTCCTGGGTGTGAGAGGCTGTGTAGAGAATTGAACACCGTGCGTCGCCATTCCCGGGGGACCAGGGGGCGTTGTGTGCCAGTGGAGACGTCACAGTAGAGTGGGTCGCCCGCATTCGGCAGGGGAATAGGCTCCACAACCAGAGGGGATGATGAGGAGGACTGGAGTGCCCGGATCTGCGGGTGGGTCGCTTGTGACTTGGCCATTGCGGCCTAATCAAAGAGTTGCTAGACGACATCTCGTGCTTTGCCAGTTTAGCGATCACGTCGTGGTCACCAAATGTCGTAAGTCACGACCATAAGAACTGATCATCACATACAGCACGGCATACATTTTATAGACTGCAAACACGTGGTGGAGAAACTTCTAGAAGGTTATGTAAGTGTGATAGCATCGTGCAGCTGATGATGGTCTGTCACATGTGTAACCACAGCTCAGGTGAGTTCACTACAAGGTCCTAGACTACAAGCTGTCTCCTCAGTCAGATTTTCCTGATGTAGACAAAGAAGCAGAAGAAAGACATGAGGACCATGAACTGTGTTCTTACTGGCAATTTGTCGGGGAAATGAAAACCTTGTGTGGTACAACATGATTTCCTACCCTCTCTAAACTCTCCATGTGCTTGTTGGCATTACCAGTCTCTAATGCTGAAATAGAAAGAGTTTTCAGTATCGTTAGGAAGATTGTAACTGACTACCGCTCACAAATGGACCAATCTACTCTCTGTGCGTTGATGTCTTGCAAAATAAATAACGATAGTGTGTGTTTTCAGCTTGATACTCCCACTATTCTTTTAAAGGAGGCAAAGTCTGCAACATTAAAGTATAATTCAGCCCATTCATCTAAATGATGTTTTGTAAAAATTCTGTATTGTTCTGTAAATATTATATGTAAAAATTCTTCCACGTTGTTGTCCCTCTTTTTTAACGAAAATCCCACATTATTAGCAAAATTATCCCTATCACCAACCCTTTGGGGTTGAGATGTATGGTAAACGCATGCGCCGTACCACTAATTGATGAAATCAATCATCAACATACCCTGGGTTTACAGGAGTTGTAACACAACACGCACACAAAAAACAAAAAATAATGGAGACATAGTCTGGGGTTTAGGTGAGAACGGCAAGTCTGGTGAGAGGCAAAGACAGCGCTGTCGGCAGCACGAACCAAGGGGGCTACCCATTCCGCCATGACATCCAACAGATGTCACGTGTTCGTGGCTGAAGTCACTCAAGTTGACTTGCCTGTAACCTCATACCACCGTAGATCAGGGTTGCGGAGGCGATGCAGAGGTGAGATACCATCACGAACCAAAGGGGCTACCCATCCCACCGTGACGTCCACGATACAGACGCTACGTGTCCGCGTCTAGCAGCTGCCTGTTGCTCGAAATCCCCGGTAGGCACCCCACACCCGTCAGAGGGTCTCCCACGCCATACACACAAACAAAACAGTGTCAGTCACAGAGCTAAGGCATAGAAAGACGCCTTAGAAAATACAGCAGTCGAGCCAGGGTTAACAACACGGTCGCACTGCCAAAGGGGTGCTAATATCTATCATTGTATCATTGTATATAGAATACGCTTGATTCAATACTCTCACTTTTGTGAGCGTATGTGCAGCAGGTTTAATGCGCAGCAGGTTTAATGCGATCTGTGTCGTCTCCATTATCTATGCATGTATGTATGTATAGCACATTGGTTTTACATTTCACTTTGTCTTGTGTTGAGATGAGAATCCCTATCAGCTGAGTTGCCAGATGAGTGTTGTGGGTTCGATCCCACCTAGGGTATATAGCTCTTCTTGCCCCCCCCCCACCTTGCTTACAGTAAAGCTGCACAGATTGGCGAATGCACCTCTTGCCGGGAAACTTTGTGTCAAAGATTGGCTATTTCCCTGGCATTGGTTCTATTGCCAGTGCTTCCGGTAAAGTGAGGCATCAGCAGGGCAGCGCCAAATCCTTCGTATATCTCGTCAGGTTAAACTTGCGTTTTTTACTATACACATGCCTACCAAGTTTTGTCTTTGTTGTTGTTTACATACATGTACAAAGAGCATGTATATACTGTTGTGTTTTTGACACTATAATTACAGTGACTGAATATAGCTCTTAACCATTAATTTGTGAGTTACACTGACACAGGGGTGCCCTTTGTAGTATAATTATAGTTTGGTGTTATATGTTGTAAAAAACATTGTAAATAAGTATAATATGACTATCCACATCTGATTACGGGTGTTGAAGTTTTCCTATCATAGGCCGATACATCTATGATGGTAGGTATATACCATGCCCATGCCAATCGCTATACTAAGTACTGCCGTAGTTAGTGATTATTGACCTCGCCGTCTCTTGTTCTCTTCTCCTCATTAACCCTCGGCGGCGCGTGTGAAAAAGCCAATACATGCTAATGAGTACCATCACCATGGCTTACCTCGACCGCCAGGCACATTGCGGAGGATATAGCGAGAATACCGAACGTTGCCTACGGTTCCAGCTAGGCAGCACGAGCAATGCACGATCGACGGGTGGTGAGCGAGCCGGCGGTTAGTGTGAGCGAGGAGAGGCAGAGGACCGGGAGAGAGCGAGACATGATGTGTTTATCATAGTGCGCCACGAACCGCGTGCGTGATAAATGCGTGATCTCGGATCAGAGACACTGTACCGTTTATGATAATATGTCATGGCATGGACAAACCTTATTAACTTTGTAGCGGATCAAATTATTTATTATCGCTCATCACAAACCAACGGCCTGTCCACATGACGTATAAACCCGGACCACACATATTATGTTATATATAGCCCCACTGTGGGACTCCACGCCGAGGGTTTAGCACTTCAGTGCCTTTCATTTTTGAAGCAACTGCCATCCCCATATCCCCTAGAGAAATTATTATTTTTCCACTTGTGTATTCACTGAATTCAGAGCAAAATGTATGTATTGCAAGCAAGTTGCATTACTTTTCACAAACAAAACTTAATAAAACGACTGAGTTATATAGCTAGGGTGTGAACACTACGCTTGCTGCACAAAAGAGATCATGTTTCTGGTGATGAAACACTATCACAGAATGCTGTCTAAACCTGTCATTCATGGACCTGAACTACAAATGGGTCGAGGAGGGCACTTAAAGGTATTGGTGAGCAAATGTGCGCAAAATTTCTTTCATGTGTAATGTGTGGTTTTTTGTACAAACTTGGAGTATGTTTGACCAGACATATTATTGAAGTAATCTTGTAACTACAGATAATAGCTAAGTACCTTCAGTTAATGTGACACAATGTACAGCACAATTTATACATCTAGGTGGGTTCGCTTTGCTAAATTGTTTCTACTTCTTGTAATAAACCTGCACAAGACATACAATGCAAAATAAAATATTTCTTGGGGTCTTGAACTAACCACTGTGTAACGATTTGGTTCAACACCAACGCTTTCACTTGTACATCCATAATCCGTTGCTAGAAGATGAATGGTCCTTCTGTTGTAGCTTGAAGTAGTTTCAAATTTATACTCTGGTGGAACTAGACCCTATAGTGGTATTAATGCAATTCATAAAACAAGACAACTGTTGTACTTGGTGCTTATTACCCATCACCTCTGACTGCTATAACACACACAATGTTTATTACGGAAGTTGCTCCTTCATTATTCGCTTTTTGTACAAACTTGTATTTTTGACCAGTGTAGAGGACATAATTGAAGTAGCTAATCTTGTAACTACAGATGATAGCTAAGTACCTCCTGAGCCTTTTCAATGAATGATTCCAATTGTGCAATCACCCGAACTTTGAAATCCACAACTAAAGCACCCCTGTACAGAGGAAGGGTATAATATGCAGTTGTTTTGGAAAGAAAAGACAAATCTCCTGGGTTGAGTAGAGTGCACTTGTGCAGTGCATCCTCTGCCACATTGTAGAGTCTTTCCATGTCTATAAGAATTCATAGTGTAAAAACAGCAGTTGTAATTTTTTTACATACCTTCGTACAAAGGAGCAAAGTACCAGTTCTTCTTTATTGCCACACTTACATTTCAAAATAAATGTTTCCTAACAAGATATAAAGTCAACAATACATAGCATATTTTGGTTTAATGGACTCACTTTGCAAGAAGGGCATTCATGTGGATAATGACAAGTACCACCACACTGATGGCTGCATTCTTTGCATTTAATTAGACAGGGCTGTTTGCATTCCTCCTTGCAATTACCATCGTGACACTTTTCTTGACACTTATGTCCCACATGGGAGTGGTTTTCCACACATCATATCACATGTGATTTTATCTTCATAACAAGCGACAATATTTTGTTCTAATAGCATGAATTGTAAGTATAATTATAATAAGAGTGATAAGTTTTTTGGCTTACCTTATGTTTACCAACACACGTTCTCTGTACTAGGGCATAACATGGAGGACAGGTTTCTTCATTATGACATGTATGGGTCACTGAGGAAGGAGAAAGTGTGTGTAGTAAGTGAAGTGTTACATTTTTCTTCTCAGGACCTTCGTGAGCACAAGCATGTACTCGTTCACATGTTTCTTGCATTCTGGTGTTTAGCTCCACACTGTACTCTCACTTCCTCACCACAGTCACATGAGAGCTTTTTTATACCTGATTAAAACACAGCATTTGATAAAATTAGCTAAAGTCAAAGTTTTGCTGTTCCTACATAGTACTATTGTACCCACGACATCCACACTTATATGGTGTGTTTTAATGTATTTCTGCCGAGTCCTAAAGAAAAAGAGTGTCAGAAACCACGTGAGTATGCATAAGGTTGCCCCGATCTCTGCTCCCTCCCAACAATAGCTGCAATAACAAAAAAAAATTTTACTCACTTGTTTGAGTACATTCTTTACAGTCTCCACTGTGGCAGGGTTGGTCACAATCATGGTTACCACAAGGAAGACGTTTCATACACTTCTTATTGCACAAATGTGCCATTTCCTGTTCCTTAGAAGAATAACAAGCTAATAACAATGCACACAGCAGAACTTACTGCACAGTTGTGTTTGCCACACTGATGACGTCCACAGTTCATAATTTTCTTGCAAGCCTTAAAGCACTTTCAACACACATGCTGGTTGGTTAGGTCAATCTCTTGGCAGTCAAGACGTACTTTAACCTTGCACTCATAGCATTGCACAATACGAGATTTTGTACATGGTGGACACGGTCCGTTATGGCATTGGGACCGACAAATGTGCTGCT